TGGTTTTACGTAAAATGTTTACGCCCGGTTTCGAACCGGGGACCTTTCGCGTGTGAGGCGAACGTGATAACCACTATTCTTTGTTTTTTTCGGTAAAGTCACGTATAAAGATAAAAGAATAAATTAAATAATAGCATACGGCGTTTCGATTGCAACACAAGCAATCATCATCAGGTATAATGAAATAGCGACATAGAATATAACCAGAAAACTATAGACAGACATGTAAGCAGACATATATCACCAAGATACATAGAGAGAGCAACCCAGGAACAGAGAGGGGTGATCGTCTCTGTGGGGTGGCCTTAAATAGACAGAGGGGGGGGCGGAGGCAGAGAGAGGGAGGGGTTAGGGAAAAAATGTACACGTCAATGAGTACGACGGGAGGGCAAGTAAGGTAAGCAGGCTTAGAGGGAGACAGAACACCCTAAATTCAAATAACCTAGCAAAGTATCGAAATGTTATGTAAAACGACACAGACACTACACTACGGAAACTGCTTGTCCACCCTGTTAAGTTGCAACACACTTCACTGGTATAGACCTATGCCAACAGTCAAGAATGATGAACTCATCAAGTTCATGAAGGCACATTTTACGTGCACTTTAAATAATACACGATTTTTTGTGGTTTTACGTAAAATGTTTCCGCCCGGTTTCGAACCGGGGACCTTTCGCGTGTGAGGCGAACGTGATAACCACTACACTACGGAAACTGCTTAGCAAACCTGTGAAGTTGCAACACACTTCACTGGTATATGCCAACAGTGAAGAATGATGAATTCATCACCTCATGAGGGCACATTTTACGTGCACTTTAAATAAAACACGATTTTTTTTGGTTTTTACGTAAATGTTTCCGCTCGGTTTCGAACCGGGGACCTTTCGCGTGTTAGGCGAACATGATAACCACTACACTACGGAAAATGCTTGTCCACCCTGATAAGTTGCAACACACTTCACTGGTATAGACCTATGCCAACAATAAAGAATCATGAATTCATCACCTTCATGAGGGCACATTTTACGTGCACTTTAAATAAAACACGATTGTTTTTGGTTTTACGTAAAATGTTTCTGCCCGGTTTCGAACCGGGGACCTTTTGCGTGTGAGGCGAACGTGATAACCACTACACTACGGAAACTGCTTAGCAAACCTGTGAAGTTGCAACACACTTCACTGGTATATGCCAACAGTGAAGAATGATGAATTCATCACCTTCATGAGGGCACATTTTACGTGCACTTTAAATAAAACACGATTTTTTTTGGTTTTTACGTAAATGTTTCCGCTCGGTTTCGAACCGGGGACCTTTCGCGTGCTAGGCGAACATGATAACCACTACACTACGGAAAATGCTTGTCCACCCGGATAAGTTGCAACACACTTCACTGGTATAGACCTATGCCAACAATAAAGAATCATTAATTCATCACCTTCATGAGGGCACATTTTACGTGCACTTTAAATAAAACACGATTGTTTTTGGTTTTACGTAAATGTTTCTGCCCGGTTTCGAACCGGGGACCTTTGCGTGTGAGGCAAACGTGAGAACCACTACACTACGGAAACTGCTTGTCCACCCGTTAAGTTGCAACACACTTCACTGGTATAGGTTCCTAGAATCAACCCACCCGTGCCTGCAACATGGCTTCATCCCAGAGGTCGCATCGAGTACCCGTACCCTACCCGATACCCGGCCAGGTACGGGTAGCCGGGTATCGGGTAGGGTACGGGTACCCATTTGCGACCCTGGTGCGGCCGGGTACGGGTAAGGAATCAAAACCCGTTTGCGACCTCTGGTGTGTGAGAGTGAGTAGACGGGTGAGTGAGGCAGAGCCGTGCTCCGTCCACTGCTGCCCTGAGGGACCCCCCTGCTCTCCACTGCTGGCTTTAGGGAGAGCCGCGCTGTCTCCACTGCTGCCCTCAGGCAGAGCCGTGCTCTGTCCATTACATTAGTACTGCCGTTTTTTTGGTGCTTAAATCCACTGCTGGTGAATGCCCACCGCACGCTGTGTGAGTGGATCGTAAGGATTTACTTGACCAGTCTGATGGGGCCCGCTGCAGGCTGTGGTTGTTTGTTTTTGTCATGAAATCATCATCTTCATCAGGGCACATTTTACGTGCACTTCAAATAAAACACGATTTTTTTTAGTTTTACATAAAATGTTTCCGCCCGGTTTCAAATCTTCCGCGGGTTCGGCAAACGTGATAACCACTACACTATGGAAACCCCTTGCATGCCTGTGCTGTAGCAACATAGTTTAATGACATGAGCCTATTCCAACTAAGTTAATCACAAAAAGATCATCTTCACAAGCGCAAATTTGAAGTGCACTTCAATAAAAAAAAAACTATGTGTCTGGTTACAAATAAAATGTTTCTGCCGGTTTTTGAACCGTTTCTCTATCTCTTAACATGGGGCAATATAGAGTGTTTCTCGGGAACTGCAAATCGCAAAGTTAAGGTCTTCATAGTATTGAACTCAGCACCGATTTTCAATCGGATCTTCAATGGTATAAACATGTCGGCCAGCGTGCGTGGGATGTAGCCACAGTTGGTTTTATTTATTTTTTACATGAAAATCCGTGAGCTAATACAGAATCGCAGTGCAATGGGTCGTGGAGGTTTCGATCGTAATTTTTATTTTCACCGGCGCCGGACGCGTTGTTTCGTGTTGCCCTCTTGGTGGGCACGTGGAGTAACGACTACAATACGTGGTGACGCCTGCCATCTGGCACACGTGTATAGTTATAGGCCAACAACAAAACAACAATCGCCATTCGCTACTAAGTGGCGGTGATATCAACACGACTCTTGTGCCAGGCTAGGTGCACGTTGAGGCCACGTGAAGTGCCGAACACCCGCCGACAGGTCACGGGGCAGCCCCAACAGGTGCCGCATGGGTCGACTGAGATGACTGGCACCACCTTTCACCCCCCCCCCCCCTACAGTGCCAACCTGTCAACCCCTTACCAGTGCCCTAGGGGCCGTCCATAAATGACGTCACGCGATTTTGGACGATTTTTGACCCCTCCCCATCGTCACACGGCGTCACAAAAAGTCAGACCCCCCTCAAATATGACGTCACAAAGCTCTGCCCCCCCCCCAAAATAAAACATGCTTCAAATCGCTTTAAGCTATTGTCATTGTAGTGGCGCTGCACTCTAATGTTGTAGGAGAAAACATTTCTTAAAAGTCTATTTAATTCAGTAGAACGTGTTGTCTATATTTATTTAAAGTTGCGCATTTTGATGTGACGTCACATTTCTCAAACCCCCCCCCCCCCTCGTCACACATCGTCACAAATGTCTGACCCCCCCCCCCCCCCACTAGGTGCGTGACGTCATTTATGGACGGCCTCTTGTTATTACAGACCAATTCAGACCTTGTAAGGTTCACCCCGCGCCCTTATAATTCACAACGTTCATCCTACAGAGCCCCATCACAAGGGAGAAACACAGACAAACACTCATCCTGCGTCCTGCCCTGGGAGCCATAGGTCGGGCTCTTCCACTATTTCAAATGTCTGCCTGTCGACGTCGCTACTTTCGCCTTCTTCGCCGCAGGAGGAAACGCTGCCCCCCCCCACCCCCACTGTCGCTGTGCTATGGCGTGGCTTGTGTGTTGGAAAATCGGATGTGGAAGTAACATGTAGCCTGCGCGCATGATCTGTACCGAGAAGAGTCTTAATTGCGGATCAAATTTGTCGGCTGCTACCGGGAACGCGCGACTCTACGGAGTAAAAAAAAATAATTCTGTCCCACGAATTTATGTATTTGGCCGTACGATTTTCGTTATTGTTGCCCGTATTTACACGGCTGTACGCCGCATGAACCTGACAACTCAAGTTCAAGTTCATTTATTAGGTATAGCCCTGTGAGCCATTCGGCTCTTGAATCGGGTGCAACCGCAACAAACACAAAACAAAAACATGAACAAAAAACATTTTAAAGTGAATATGTGACTCGATTTCCTGTGCAAGAATACGGCGTAAACCGTATGAGTTGACACGGCATATGCATTGAACCCACTCGGACAGCCGCAATAGTTGCGCAACACCTCTACGACGTACCGCTACTGTGGGCACCGCACAGTCGTACCGCGTGGTGGCCACCACACGGTGGCGCTACAGCCCCCGTGGTGGCCACACGGTGGCGCTACAGCCCCCGTGGTGGCCACACGGTGACGCTACAGCCACTAACCCCGGGGGGGTCTCACGGTCCTTAGGGGCCGTCCATAAATGACGTCACGCACCTGGGGGGGGTTCAGACATTTGTGACGATGTGTGACGAGGGGGTTGAGAAATGTGACGTCACATCAAAATGCCGAACTTTAAATAAATATAGACAACACGTTCTACTTAATTAAATAGACTTTTCAATAAATGTTTTCGCCTACAACATCAGAGTGCAGCGCCATCTTCTTGGTTCTTTCGGTAAAGTCATGTAGAAGGGAAGTAATAAAATAATAAAAATAAAACACAATAAAATAATTCTCACGACGTTTCGGCCACAACGCAAGCAGCCGTCCTCAGGTGAAGAAACAGGTCTGTTGGGAAGACGGCGTCTGAATGACACGCCCCAGGCTTGGAGCGTCTATTTAAGCTGGGTTGGAGCGAGAAGGTGCGCCTTAACAACATATTTTGCATATCAATAGGAATTTAGCATATTTATGGGAAATGCAGATATGGGATTAGTTATTTTGTTAAGGCGCACCTTCTCGCTCCAACCCAGCTTAAATAGACGCTCCAAGCCTGGGGCGTGTCATTCAGACGCTGTCTTCCCGACAGACCTGTTTCTTCACCTGAGGACGGCTGCTTGCGTTGTGGCCGAAACGTCGTGAGAATTGTTTTATTTGTAGTTTTATTACTTCCCTTCTACGTGACTTTACCGAAAGAACCAAGAAGATGAATTCCTGCAGTCACGAAAGCTTTAAATCGAAATGCAGCGCCATATTAAATACGCACTACAATGACAATAGTTTAAAGCGATTTGAAGCATGTTTTATTTGGGGGGGGGGCAGAGCTTTGGATAAAGCCAGGATGAATCGTAGACAGGCCAGTCTGCATGTTTCTAACCAGTGCCGACGGTCTGTTAGAGGGGTCCACATTTCACAAGCATAGAGAAGGGACACCATGACTGGACGAGAAGACCAAGAGCTTTGTAAGGAGAGACAGACCAGGCAGATTCCACACAGCATTTTGGAGCTGATGAAATGATAATGCTGCTTGACTGATTCGGAGTGACACCTCTGCTGCCAAACCAGAGCTGGTCATATGCACACTGCCCAGGTATGGGAACTACTCCACTCTCTCCACAACAGCCCCATAACTGCCCCATAATTTTCGTCTCGAGGAGGCAAAGTGCACAAACAAATTGCATTGGCCTTAGCCATAAGCTTACCTTTATTTTACAGTAATATCGACAGTGACAAGAATGTTGTTGCAGCTTTTGTGTAATTTCTGTGCAAAAATGTTTCAGCATCACACAGTCTCACAGGTTAATACATTACATTAAAAGATTAGCTTCTAGATGTATACACAATAAAACATAATGTATAAAAGTTTCGTGTTCCAGGGTAAAATTTAAAACAATTTCTTCAGTAACTCAATGTAATATTCTCTCTTCTTTGCATTCTTGTTCTGAAAAAAAAAGGCAGTGCTGTTATTCTACATGGACAAAAGATCAAGAGTCATTCACAGACAGAGATCGGCTCTGCAAACACAATATCAAGTTAGGGCTGGCAGCAAAATGACAGATTGAAAACGACTGCCGTCAAAAGACACCAATGCACGTACACAAGTGACGGTGTATAGAATCCAACAACAGTAACTTGCAAGTGCTTTTAAACAAGACGCTCCAGTGGAGGGTATTGAATGTAAAGACTTGTGTCTGAAAGCCGCTCTCAGTAACATTGCAGCAAAATTATTAATATCTTGTAAACGTCAATTCTGTGGTCACCGCAGTTTTATAGCAAAAAGTCTCTTCACATCTTTCAACAGCCAATCCTCGATGTTGCCTTTAGACTTGTTTTTATCCGACCTCAAGCCACTCAGAAAGCGACGAGCTGAACGCCACACTTCAATAAGTTAGTTACGCGACTCGGATAACTCAACGATATATTCACTACGTCACACATTTCGTGATTTCCACCCCTGCAGAACTTAGAAGTTGCAGACTTTTGGGGCATCGGAAAGCATTGGATCTGCGCATTTTTGCAAGGTAAGTTTATTGGATTTCCACTACATTTTATCCTGACACTATTCAGTCCCCGTATGATGTGATGCATAATGGATATAACTTAATGATTCGATGCACCACGAGTAAACAGGCAGGTAAATTGTCGCTCTCGCGGGATAAAAAAAATGCATACAAACCTGACAGCCACGTTTCTGCCATCTCCACACTTGCAAATGGCTCGCAGTCAACCTCGGAACGACACAGGACGTCAAGAACTTGCGGCTGCACAAAACACACCACCGCAAACATAAACCACATAAGTTCTTCACTTGTGATCAGGTGAGAGCTCATAGAAACTCAAGGTCAAGGGAGACTCGCCTCTTATGGACAAACGCTGTGGAGCAAAAAAGCAAAAACTCAAGGAATAAAACAAGAGAGAGCATCACAGAAATGTGGAAACATTGGAATCAAAGCACTCGCTAAACATCACCATCATGAGCCATGCTCAATCCACTGCTGGATGAAGGCCTAACCCAGGGGTGTCCAAACTTTTTGCAAAGAGGGCCAAATTTTATAAAGTGAAGATGCCCGGGGGCCAATAGTTCCTTCCGACATTTTTACCACAAAATTTACGTGAAAATACACACTGTTATAAAACAATTATCATTGTCACAATTACCTTTATTTTTCAAATGACAATGTAACCAAATATAAGCCACTCAGGCAGACGTGAACAACTCTAAAAACACAATTCTGCCTTTCATTCAGTCAGATAACATTGAACAAACTGTATAGAATACCTTAAATTTCCATGAGTTAAATATATTTGCCTCATGAACATTTTAAACAGGAGTTATAAGTAATGCAAAGTGGTCTGTTATCATTAAACTTTAAAACAAGTGAATTTTGCCCTCTCTCTTTACGTTGAAATCCTTAAAGAAGGCATCCGTCTCTTTACAAATTAGACAAACACAATTGCCTCGATTTCCAGTGAAGAAGTATTGTAATTCCCACCGCTCCTGAAAGCGGCAGCCCTCACTGTCAACTTTTATCTTTTTTGTTTTTGCAGTCGCCATGGCAGAAATGATTCGAGAAGGGTTCGCGGCACGGATGCAAAATTAGAGAGCATTAGAATGGTGCTGCCACCGTGTGGCGGAAGGAGGAATAACATCTTTAAAGTTTTATGATTTATAAGACCGAAGCTGCGGGCCGTATAAAATCTGACCGCGGGCCGTGATTGGCCCGTGGCCGGACTTTGGACATGCCTAGCCTAACCAATGCGTGACTGTTTATCATGGTTCTGCAATGTAACAATGTATGTATATTGAACTTGTTTTGCACCGTACGGAGCCAACCGTGCTAGTCCGAGGTGCAATCCACCTAGCACATGCACAGTAGCTAATTTAAACGTTCCATCTCCCCGGTGGTCATCCCCTCGAATGCATTCCATTTCTTGGTCATCACCACATCTTTTCGATCATCGGCCATCATCCACCTAGCGACGTGCCCTGCCCATGCCCACGTACTTTACTGCATGCGCTACGCAATCCACATGTGCAACTGTCTCTCAATAAAATTCCAAACACGCACCGGCACGGTGATTATCTCCTGAGTGGAGGTGTGTTTGACAGTAGTCCCATGTAGAATGTGAGAGTAAGGAGCCCACTACCTGCAGACAGGCAAGCAGCAAGTGGGAGCCTCTGCTGTGAAAGTTGAGCAGCAGATCCCGCAGGACGCAGACGGACGAGTAGTCGAGCATGTACACGGCCTTGCAGTCCAGCACCACCGGCCGTGGGGCCGAGCAGGGCCCGGAGATGGCAGAGCAAGGCGCTGCGCACACACACGAAGCCAGGGTAAGGGGTTACTCACAATGCACGTGCTAGAGAGATGGTATCTCCCTCGCCTGGTATGCAGGAGGTCGTGGGTTCGATCCCGACCCTGATGATATATTTGGAGTTCACAAGTTCTCTCCCCTTGGTCGCGTGGAGTTTTCTCCAGGTGCTCCAGTTTTGCCCTCCACATTTACAAATATATGTTTAGAATATTTGACTACCACTATAAATTCCCACCTATGATAAGCCACTTTTGATGAGCTATCACATGTAGCCAGGTAGCCTCTGAAAAAGGCCAATTTCTCAGTGGGCTTTACCTGGTAAATAAAAGTTTCGTTTAGCCATCAAGAAATAACTTTTTAATTGCTCGTTTCAAATAGCAGCATCTCAGGTGGGCTCACTTCTCTAAACGACGGTGAACAGTTCACTCGGATTCAATTTCAGCACTTGCTTCTCGAACCTTCACAGCCCACTGAAAATAATAACGTCCAATGCCGCTTATCGCACCGCTGGGCCCAGGGAGCTCAAACGTAGGCGGCGCGCGATGCGTACCCTGCAGGGCGAGCAGCTCGTCGCGCAGGTGCTCCACAGCCAGGAAGCACAGGCCGCACTGCAGCTCCACCACCAGGGCCCCCGAGGCCGGCACAGCTGCCTCCACACGCGTCGCCTATATACGGGGGCGGCATCGGAGGCTGTGCGTGCGTGCGTACGTGCTGTGCGTGCTCTGTGCGCTGTGCATGTGTCGTGTGCGTGCGGTGTGTGAGCGTAGCTCCCTCACGTGGAGATGTGGCCGTAGAAGTGGGTACAGGAGGGGCAGAAGAGATGCGACCACCCCTCCCAGCAGCCCATACGGGATCTCCCACAGGCACAGCCCAAATGTCAGCACAAACACCAATGCATCTGACTCTGCAGGAGCGGGAAACAGAGCACTCAGGGTTATTGCCACACAGCAGAAAGCCACAAGGTGCAGCTAAACGTACATTACTTATTTACTTAGGACAGCTTCCCCGAGTCTCAACTCCTTTTGCATTGACTTATGTATAGTGAACTTCATTCGATCCATACATAGCCAACCGTGCTTTCTCAGGAGGGATCTGGTAATATCCCTAGTAGCGTACGATGAATGCTATATGTGTTTGCCAATTAAGTACTTGGCAAAGAATGTTTTTTTTTTATTTGGATGACGCTTCATCTTGTTTCAAATGACATCATGGAACCATTAACATCCACTCTGAAGGAGGTGAATGTGATGGTCAACAAGCAACTCGATGAACTTGGCCTGTCAGGATGCCCCCATGCAGTTCCATTGTCACAATTTGGCATCATAATTTAAGAATTCATTCCTTTTTATTACAGAGGTGAATGTAGCCGCTCCAGTCAATGTAGGATATACGTGCACCAATTGCAATCCGGAGATGCCCAAAACAATCGATTCTCACATGGACCATTCGATGCATGTATTGTAAGCTTTGTTATTCTCTGAATAGATTCCATCCTCCCAAAAAATGCAGAATTTCACCACAAGCTCAGGGCTGTAAAAAAGAGAGCTGAGCCCCGAGATTTAAACACTGTCATTTCAAATTGTGATGCGGTGGAACACAAACATCGCTTTACTTTTTATTTTCCAAAGCCTCCACAGAATGTGGCAGTCGAACAGCGGCGCCACGGCGCAAATGATGACGGCGGCGAGGGCGGCCTTGGGGATGAAGTAGAACCACTGCGTGAGGAAGGCGAGCGACAGCAGCACCACAGCTCCTGCACGCAGTCACCAGCACCATCACGGCAGTTGGGGTGAGCAAGGCCCACAGAGGTGTACACTGGGAAAGAGCCTCTATCAAACTGGTACAAGCTGCTCAGTGGCACCGCTACACACAGTTGCAAAACCATCTTCCTACGGAAAGTGGAATGGTAACCTGAGTAGCACGTGGGAGATAAATGGAATACCCGGAGAAAAACCACATCTATGAGGGGGTGAGATTCAACACTATTGCCATTTCCTGGCCACCTCACTGCCTTGTGCCTACATCACCTGACAAGCCACTGCTAGTAACCCATCAAAGTACGAACCCGGCTCAACTCTGCGGAGTTTAAATCTCGTACCACTGCTCCAGACACATGCACAGACATCAATGTTGACTGCATTACGACGATGGCGAGGCCCTGCCCCCCGTGCATACCTGTAACAAGGCCGCCTGCGGGTGTTGCCACACCCGTCTCGGAATTCACCGCGGTTCTGCAACACAAAGTTCCGCTTGTGTCAGAGCGGCCGAGCCCACGCGCACAAGGCCTGGGTGCCATGGTGTCGGACCTCCCAGTGTGGACGCGCATTGGTGCTGCTTTCATAGTCCACAAGCAGGCTATGTAATAGGCGCATAAGTGTCTGTGGACGCGTATCGACACCGCTGGAGGATGAGAATTTCCCGAAGTATAAGTGTCTGAGAGGAACACACGCCCTGTTATGTGTTAAAGTGGCATTAGTGTTATACTGCAATAAGTAATATATTGCACAAACAGTTTATGTCATAGTTGTGCCTTTGTAATCATATGGTACACAGATCTTTGTTTGGGGGTTTTTTTCTTCCCCCCAGAAGTTTTGATGCTATGAAGCAGTGCTGGTTCGTGTAGGTCACCTGCCAAAGCTGCCTGTGACGGGGTAGGAAGAGGTGAAGGAACCCAGAACATTGGTGAGGCCTGAGGGAGGCACACGTGACCAACTTAACAAGGCACAAAGCAACACCGCTGACCATCGTGGCCAGTGATCGCATAACAAGCCAACAGCTCTCGTAAAAGGCAATGCTTGTGACGCAAAACACATGTGCTCGTGAGGCCATGTGGTTGCTGGTAGTGGTGCTACAGTCCGTGTCAGTGTACCCAAACCTCTGCTTACCTATTGCTATCAGTTCCTGGCTGGGATCGATCCTGTACATGTTCTTCGTTGCTGGAAAGAGCGCAACAACACAGCGGGCAAGTCTCCCACACTTTCACAACGAGGTGAACATCCAGCGACAACACCAACTCAAACTGAACGTTAAAAGTATGCAATTAGCAAAACGGACAAAAAATATCCTTGTTCTGTATGACATTTTAAGTTGTGTTGGTTCATGTTGTATGACGGTACTGTTATGTGTGTGTGTGTTGGTGAGGGTACTGTTGTGTGTGCGGTGGAGTGTCACTGCTGTGCGATTAGCTCGTATGCTTTAAGGGTACCAAACGCTTTAGCGATTGCAATGCTCTCCAGGAAGCCCAGCAGCGGAATGACCAACAGCGCCAACCCCAGATCCTGCAACAGCAGGTTACATGTCATGTGTAATACTTGCATATTTCAGCACATAAAGCAAGATGTATAAAATACTGAAGACATCAAATTGAATAAAACTATGGGATGGGGAGCACTGCAGAAGTCGCAACCGGGTACCCGATACCCGTACCCTACCCGATACCCGGCTACCCGTACCCGGCCGGGTACGGGTACCCGTTTGCGACCCTGGAGTGGGCGGGTACGGATACGGGTAGACCGTGAGTCACTGGTGAATAACTGTTTGTCACTCATTTCCCAACGTCTTGTCTCTTCTCACAATTCAAGATCCTAGAATCAACCCACCTGCGCCTGCAACATGGCTTCATCCCAGAGGTCGCAATCAGGTACCCGATACCCGTACCCTACCCGTACCCGGCCGAGTACGGGTAGGGAACGGGTACGGCCGGGTACCGGTACGGGTACCCGTTTGCGACCCTGGTGCGGCCGGGTACGGGTAAGGAATCAAAACCCGTTTGCGACCTCTGGAGCACTGTAACTGGCTTGGACATCGTGCTTTGGATCTGGAACAACAGCCACTCTCCGACACGGTGACCTACCCTGACGATCTGCAAAAAAGGGATGAATGTGCCTTCCTTGGTTTCTGAGAAGGCAGGAGGGTGGAACGGGGGTAGGCCCTGGGCAATGTGCCCCGTGAGGGTGAAGGGATGCAGCCTCTGGCTCTCGCAGGCAAACGCCACGAGCGCGGCGGCCAGGACGACCACCGCATTGCGCACTGAAACACACACACGGCCAACGCTCATCTGTCAAGAACAGACATTGACACGGACACGGTTTCCAGAGCGCCGGTCTTCGCAACCCACCTTCCCACATTTAACAATTTTCTATGTTCTAATACAATCATGAGGCCTCCTTTGCCAGTACCAAAATATACTAATAGGGTTTTATCCCCTTTTTTCTGGCAACAAAACTGACACCTTTTGCAAAGAATCATGTTAACATTAACCACAATACTTGCAATCAAATGCAAACAAAAAACAATACTCTGATAATTTATGCATTGTCCTTGAAACTGATTGGTCCACCCCAGAGACAGCTTTTCCTAGAGCCACCATATAAAGGTGTCAGTTTTGTTGCCAGAAAAAAAGGGGAAAACCCTTTCTAATACAAGGTTATGTATTTTAAGTTGATATAGGCATACCCCGGTTTATGCCCAGGATGCGTTCCTAAAACCAGAATGTTAATCGAAGCAAAGAGATGGGATGGCGGATTGTAATGTGGTACAGTACCCAAACAAAGGATGCTCGATAACCCATTGCGCATCTAGACTATAAAACGATCGGTGTGAAAAGTAAGTCTATTTTAGAGATATATTAAGATATATTACCTTGTTTAGTATACTATATGTGTTATCAGTTGTTTATTATATAAAAAATAGTTTACACTTTTATAAGAGATAATCGCCATAAATACAGTATGTGGAGGTAAAAATATTTATAGAGTACACATGAAAGTGATTATAGCCAATCGGAGATGCGAATGATTCGGCGGCATCTGGCACCTAAATTTCGCCGCAGAACGTTAAAAAATTGGGGCTTCATAGTTAAGTTCCTAAATCTCGAGTACGCTATGGCGAGGTACCACAGTATGTAAAATGGGATCGGGTATCAATAAGCTTAGTATATAAAACATTAAAATTAATAAAAGTGAAATAAAATAAAAATCACGACGTTTCGGAGGCAACACAAGTCTCCGTCATCAGGTGGGACCGTCACAGCCAGATTTGCTGCATCAAGTGACGGTCCCACCTGATGACGGAGACTTGTGTTGCCTCCGAAACGTCGTGATTTTTATTTTATTTTACTTTTATTAATTTTAATGTTTTACCTACGTGACTTTACCGAAAACACCTAAGAATATGAATCCTTGCAGTCACGAAAGCTTCAACTCTAGAATTAAAGCTTAGTATGTTCGAGTGAAAGTACGCAAAGCGGGAGGGCGTAAATCGGGGAATTACCGTATTCACAAAAACAGTCCTCCGATAACATCAATTGACGTGGATAATAAGAACACAAACCTGTCCCGAAAATAGAGGTGATGCTGTTGCTGATACGAACGGAGACAGGAATGGGCGGTGGGAAGGGGGTCCGTGCGGCAATCAGGCGAAGGAGGATGAGCAGCAGAAGGGAGCTCCCGCCCAGCAAGGCATCCGCCAGTCTGAGAGCGCACACCACACGGGTCAAACGATGCCTGCATATCTTCTTGGTTCTTTCGGTAAAGTCACGTAGAAGGGAAGTAATAAAATAATAAAAATAAAACATAATAAAATAATTCTCACGACGTTTCGGCCACAACGCAAGCAGCCGTCTTCAGGTGAAAACCAGGTCCGTCCGACCTGGTCCGTCCGACCTGGTTTTCACCTGAGGACGGCTGCATGCGTTGTGGCCGAAACGTCGTGAGAATTATTTTATTGTGTTTTATTTTTATTATTTTATTACTTCCCTTCTATGTGACTTTACCGAAAGAACCAAGAAGATGAATCCCTGCAGTCACGAAAGCTTTAAATCGAAAGATGCCTGCATAGCCATGAAGAATGTGGATGAAAGCTCCCTGCTGACAATTACACACCGCATCAGATGCGCATTTTTGTTTGAGTCGTGCTAGGAGAGGCCCAGAACGAGCTCTGCACTCATGTTGGCGGTGACCAAGACAAAGATCCCCCGTGTAGCCTTAACAGACTGTTGGGGCAAGTGCTGTTAGCGAGCATCTATGAAGGCTGGCGCGGCATACGTGGGGGCAGGTGGCCAGCACCATGCCCTGCCGCCTTTGTCTCCCACAGTGGTGAGGTTTACACACCGCAGCAAGTACTTATTTGAGGCTGAGTCAATCTATAGCAGGTACAGGACTGGTTTAGGCAATCGTCACTGATGTTGCCCGTGAGCGAGAATCTTACTCTGGTTGCCGGGTTCTTAGCGCAGCGCGCTAACCGCTGTACACCAGCTACCCATTGTCTATACGGACAATGCACATGGACGCATTCACTCCCATGTACACAAATACATCGGCATGCACAAACACACGGGCACGTAGCTCACGTTTACAACACTGCAAAGTTTGGTAACGTGTCGTTAAATAACCCACGTGGCTGACAGCCATGTACTGAACTGAATAAGTAATATTTAAAACACCTTTTCTAAAAACACGCTTATATGAAATGTACTAGTAATGGCAGAACTCCACGATTCCAGGAAGTGGCCCCGAAGCTTGCCACAACGTAAGGGACCTGTGGCCAATTACAGTCAACGTCAGTTGACCGTGGACAATTAGACCCAAGCCGAAACATAACAGAAAAAAAGTATGTTAAAAAAATATATATATTATTTTTTATGATAGAATATAGTATTGTCATCAGTATGACATAAGTATACCAAGTTTGCAGTCGATACCACATTGGGAAGTGGGTTAAAAAATTGAGTTACAAGATTTGAGGATACGACAACGACAACAATGACAACAGACACAGTGAGTTAAAAGAAAGCGTGTAAAAAGGAAAACAATTTTAACGAAAATTTATTTTCAGGATGTGCTTGCTGGCTTAGGGAGGAATATGATGCTCACCTGGTCTCTGCGATTTTGGAAAACGTGTAATACACCTCCTGAAAGAACTGCTGAGGGATGTCTTTAAGTCCGAGAAGTGTCTAACCAGATGCAGAACACACAACAGACAAAAGTTTGACTAAATACACAATGTGCTCAAGATGCACTGCATCAATATAACTGCTCTTCTTGGTTCTTTCGGTAAAGTCACGTAGAAGGGAAGTAACAAAATAATAAAAATAAAACATAATAAAATAATTCTCACGACGTTTAGGCCACAACGCAAGCAGCCGTCTTCAGGTGGAGAACAGGTCTGTCAAGTAGACAGACAGTTTACCATGGAAGTCCAGTTCACAGACTCTGTCTACTTGACAGACCTGTTCTCCACCTGAAGACGGCTGCTTGCGTTGTGGCCGAAACGTCGTGAGAATTATTTTATTATGTTTTATTTTTATTATTTTATTACTTCCCTTCTACGTGACTTTACCGAAAGAACCAAGAAGATGAATCCCTGCAGTCACGAAAGCTTTAAATCGAAATTTAATAACTGCTGTAAAACAAACAACCAAACACATCTCTGAATGCTTGCAATTAAAATTCAAATAAAAAGTGGCTCTTCTTGTTATTTTGGTTGCCGAACCCTGACCATGGAAGACCAGTTCACTATGGAAGTCCAGTTCACCATGGAAGTCCAGTTCACCATGGAAGTACAGTTTACCATGGAAGTACAGTTTACCATGGAAGTACAGTTCACCATGGAAGTACAGTTTACCATGGAAGTACAGTTTACCATGGAAGTACAGTTCACCATGGAAGTACAGTTTACCATGGAAGTACAGTTCACCATGGAAGTACAGTTCACCATGGAAGTACAGTTCACCATGGAAGTACAGTTTACCATGGAAGTACAGTTTACCATGGAAGTACAGTTCACCATGGAAGTCCAGTTCACCATGGAAGTACAGTTCACCATGGAAGTACAGTTCACCATGGAAGTCCAGTTCACCGTGGAAGTACAGTTTACCATGGAAGTACAGTTCACCATGGAAGTACAGTTCACCATGGAAGTACACCTCATGGGCAGGCGTCGGGAACTTGCGGCACCGGAGCCGCATGCAGCTCATTAAGGACTGTTTCGCAACATTATTTTTGAAGGACTGCCTCGTATTCACGTGCATTGCGGCTCTTGAAATATTGTTTTTTTTTACCGAATTTGAAAAAATGTCTCTGTTTGTTGTTTTGGGTTCCGACCCCTGCACTAGTCATACGTCGAGAGAAACACAAGTCGGTCCTCTGTCCCTTTAGGACACAAGACTTATTGATTGCGGTGCTGGACTTTTTTTACAGACGCACAAATGCACATTTAGGACAAGTTTCAGTGAAGCAGTTACCATAACTGAGCAGTTACCTTAATTTGGCTGAATCCAATCGTTATTGCAGCAGCGGAAGTGAATCCTTTCAAGACAGGGAGGGAGATGAATTCGACCAAAAAACCTGAACAAAAGAAGAAGACCACATTATTGCAGAGAAATCATTTCCTTGAGAACGTTGGCAGCAGCTTAATATTCACACTGTGGCATTGCATTGTAAAGGTAGAAATGTTCACATGCACAACAACAGCCGCGTCTCCACTGGCGTAGCCAGTGGGGGGGTGGGGTGGCACGTGCCCCCCCCACAATGATCCATAATTTCGATCGGATCATTAGGGTTTATTAGTAATAAATCGGCATTTTGCGAACCCCACTGCCACTGTGTCGCATATTATTACGTGCCAGGGACTCTGAGATGATAGGACAATAGTCTGAGTCCATAATTGGCAATAAGTAACGGCAAAGCGGTTATAAGTGACTTACAGAATTGTGCCCATTTGCTTATACAGTACACGACTTCCCTGAAGGCAAACACCTTCAGTGAGCGCGATGCCAATCACACAACGCGGTTCGAATTCCACCCTCGATCGGTGGCTGCGCCATCGCCGCACACGGCGTCGAATAAAAAGCAAGGGACAGGTCCTTACTTACTAACAACTCCTCTGTCATTTTTCATTGCAGGAGGGGTTGCCCGCCCCCCCCCCCCCACCTGAAAATCCTGGCTCCGCCATTGCTTGTCTCCACACGCATATTACAAGATCTCAGGCCACAGTGACGGTCCCTACCCAAACGGAAGATCCCCATGAGCAGCTGGATGGCGCCAGACAGGAAGGTGAGCAGCACGGCGTACACGGGGTCGCGGCGCACGTACACCGACACAACGAGTGACATGATGGCCGTGGGGCCCAGCGTCACGTCCTTCGACGTCCCGAGCAGGCAGTACACGAAGCAGCCCATGAAGGCCGAGTAGAGGCCGTACTGCAGCAGGGGGAAAGCACAGCCTCGGTCACGAACCCACTGCGCCACCTTTCACCCTCCACCTTCACACGGTCCGAGTGAGACTCCGAGCACTGCTTCAACAAAACAAGGGATTGTCAGCAACTAGAAATGGCACCATGTCGTGATTCTCCTTATAATTGTTTTGCAATGTGTCATTATGAATTCCCGGGGTAAGGGCATAAGTATTCATGTCCTTACCCCAGTGTCCTGAAATAAAATAATTTCGGGATAATAAATCTATCATTAACACATATGTTGGTCTCAATTATATATATTAAAAAAATGTAAACTCTTTGCAGCTGAAAGCTTCTCACAAGAGAACACCAACATATGCATGAGGCAGAACATTACACGCAACCTCTCAGTGGCAGCACAACCATCATAAATCAGCATAAGCCATGCATCGTACAGAAAAATACATCTGACGCTGGGTTCACAGGTCAGGATTTGACTTGACAAATGCACGCAACGCCTCCCATTCAGCGTGCCCACAGTGCTGTGGTCCACGAAACTCACCACCCACCGTGTGCGGTCCATCAGGCTTCATCGAAACAAAAGCCAGGTCGACTTCTCTGGATGTGCCACCGAAATGCGATCCTGGGGGGGGGGGAGCGGGGGGACAGGTGGAGGGCGACCGCAGCCCAGAGGTCGCAACCGGGTACCCGATAACCGTACCCTACCCAATAACCGGCTACCCGTACCCGGCTACCCGTTTGCGACCCTGGTGCGGCCGGGTACAGGTACAGGTAGGCCGTGAGTCACTGGTGAGTAGCCGTCACTCATTTCGGGTAGGGTACGGGTACGGGCAGGGAACGGGTACCCATTTGCGACCCTGGTGCGGCCGGGTACGGGTACGGGTAAGGAATCAAAACCTGTTTGCGACCTCTGCCGCAGCCTTACCTGCGCAGGTAAGCCGGCCACCTGTGCATAGGCGAGGGACTGAGGCACCACGGTGAGGCCCACGGTGAGCCCTGCAACCAAGTCCATGCGCGCAGAGCGCAGCGTGTAGCCTGGCAGCCACGCGAGCGGGGGCAGCAGCCCACGCACACGGCCAGGTGGGCAACAGCAGCGCGCCACGGACGCGACGACGGTCCTGGCGAGCCCGAGAGCGCGAGCGAGACCAGCGTGGCACCGCTCCGCCATCTCACGCGCACGGAGAAGGAAACGCCACCACTCACGTACACCCCACCATTCACGTACACCCCACCACTCACGTACACCCTACCACTCGCGTACAACCACCGCGGTCTTGTCAGGGTCGGGGCGGTGACACGGCTCACAGCGGAAGCGTTGTTGCCACTTTCTGCAGAGGTTTGAAGTTCGCGACCGGCAGGCGGCCCTGGTTAATACTGCGGGTGTATTAACAGTAAAATACATGCCATCTGCTTTGCTCACAGTGGATGAAGAAAAGTAGTGAGGGCATTATGTCACACTTTCCCAAACTCCATTCGGTGCGACCCACCACGCTTTGCCTTTCCGCGTTTATAAATTTACTTTCCATAAAAATACAAGTCCTTCTATGCTGTACGTGCATGATAATTCTTAAACACGTGGCCAATTTAAAATATGCTGCCAGGTCCTTCCAGAGGCAGCAAAGTCACACGGTACAGAAACTCACATCCCCCATAGATCAATTTCAACGAGCATGGATAATATTTAACAATTCATCCAACCACGTGAAATGCACTGAGCATATTCCTCAATCACAATGGACTTCACGCGGACTATGAACCTATTCAAAAGTGTTGTTTTCCTTCCACTGTCTTTGCCAAATTAAGTTCGTGCTGCCATTATGATGTAATCCAGCAGCATGTGTTTAACATACAGTATCTCACTCCGTTCATCATCATCAGGCTCCATCGTGTCAAGTTTGTTGGTGTCCTGTTACACGTATTTCCCTTTAAGGCCAGTGCTATTAACGAATGTGGTGATTTTTTTTGGTCACTCTGCTAATGAGACCGAGAAGGTTGAAACCGGTGCAGATTTTGCCTGCTTAAACAAAAAACGTGCTGAGTTCGTCTAAACTTGGAGAACAATTGGCATTTTTTTCTACTTATTTTTTTCTGCAAGTGTGCTTCGTCCACTTAAAGCGTAATAAATACAAAGAACCACGCCTACGGACTAGTTCTTGTGCAACGTCAAAGCACAAGAGGCATCGCACGGACATCTCCCACCGAATTGTCAGAGACATCTGACAACTCATTCACTCAACCTCTGTCAATAACATCACTCACTCACACAACTCATTCACTCACACAACTCATTCACTCAGCCTCGTGTCAAAAACATCACTCACTCACCTCACTCACACACATCGCTCGGCTCACTCACGTAACTCATCTCACTCACCTTACGCACTCACACACATACAATGTCACTCACTCACACACAATGTCACTCACCTTACACACACACACAATGTCACTCATCTCACTCACCTTACACACACACAATGTCACTCATCTCACTCACCTTACACACACACAATGTCACTCACCTTACACACACACACAGTCACTCACCTAACACACACACAATGTCACTCACCTTACACACACACACAGTCACTCACCTTACACACACACAATGTCACTCACCTTACACACACACACAGTCACTCACCTTACACACACACAAAATCACACACACAATGTCACTCACCTTACACTCACACACACACAATGTCACTCACACACACACACAATGTCACTCACCTTACACACACAATATCACACACACACTGTCACTCACACACACTCATACACACAGTGTCACTCACACAATATCACACACACACTGTCACTCACACACACTCACACACACAGTGTCACTCACACAATATCACACACACACTGATACACTCACACACACTCACACACACAGTGTCACTCACACAATATCACACACACACTGTCACTCACACACACTCACACACACAGTGTCACTCACCTTACACACACACAATGTCACTCACCTTACACACACACACAATGTCACTCACCTTACACACACACACAATGTCACTCACCTTACACACACACACACACATTATGTCACTCACACACACTCACAATGTCACTCACCTTACTCACACACTCACACACACAATGCCACTCACCTTACACACACACACAATGTCACTCACACACACACTCACTCACACACACAATGTCACTCACCTTACACACACAATGTCACTCACCTTACACTCACCTTACACACACAATGTCACTCACCTTACACTCACACACACACGTAATGTCACTCACACACACACACAATGTCACTCACCTTACACACACACGTAATGTCACTCACACACACACACAATGTCACTCACCTTACACACACACTATGTCACTCACACACACACTATGTCACTCACACACACACACTATGTCACTCACACAAACACTCACTCACACACACAATGTCACTCACCTTACACACACACAATGTCACTCACACACACACTATGTCACTCACACACACACACACTATGTCACTCACACAAACACTCACTCACACACACAATGTCACTCACCTTACACACACACTATGTCACTCACACACACACACACTATGTCACTCACACAAACACTCACTCACACACACAATGTCACTCACCTTACACACACACACTATGTCACTCACCTTACACTCACACACACACACTCACCTCACCTCCCCTGCGTCTCGCTCCGAGTGTGGGGGGGGGGGGATCAGCGTCTCCGGGGTGCGGCAGTGATCATGGGGTGTGACCGTGTCAGTCGCCTGCTTAGTGGACTAGTTGTGTGAGTGGTAGTGTGTTAGTGGTGTGTTAGTGGTGTGTTAGTAGTGTGAGTGGTTGTGTTAGTGGTGTGTTAGTAGTGTGATTGTGTTAGTGGTGTATAGTATGGTAGTGTGTTAGCAGTGTGAGTGGTTGTGCTCATAGTGTGTTAGTGGTGTGAGTGATTGTGTTAGTGGTGTATAGTATGGTAGTGTGTTAGCAGTGTGAGTGGTTGTGTTCATAGTGTGTTAGTGGTGTGAGTGATTGTGTTAGTGGTGTATAGTATGGTAGTGTGTTAGCAGTGTGAGTGATTGTGTTCATAGTGTATAGTATGGTAGTGTATTGGAAGTGTATTAGCAGTGTGTGTGATTGTGAATAAACGTGTGTTGGTGGTGTGTTGGTAAGAGTGCGATTGTGTTAACAGTGGGTGTGTGATTGAAGCAAGTGTGAGTTTGTGCTGATGTGTGTGAATTGTGTCCCTCTGTGAGGTCGTTGTGTGCAGCTGTGTACTCAAGTCGCTTGTTGTGTAGTTGTGTTTGTTGCTGTGTTGTTGTGTAAAAGAAAAAATGTTTTGTAAATGTTGTGGTTTCACGCTTCAACACACCGGTGGGCTAAAGCGGTGAACTATTTTGTCTTTAGTCAACGTGACACTTTTTTGCTGATTGGCCGTGTCGGGTGGTGGAGGGTTACGACACTTATAAATAACGCCATCTAAACCCAAAAACGTTGATAATTATTAATATTGATCGCGAAAGCCGGCCACGTGTTAAACTGTACTGTTGTTGTGTTGTTGTGTGTACTGTTGTTGTGTGGACTGCAGTTACGTGTACAGTAGTTGTGTTTTGTAGGAGTGTTGTGTAGAGTTGTTGCGTACTGTAGTTGTGTAGGTTTGTGGACTGTTATTGTGTACTGCAGTTGTTGTGTATTGTGATGTTGTCCTGTGGTTGTGTTGCTCTGTGGTTGTGTTGCTCTGTGGTTGTGTTGATCTGTAGTTGTGTTGATATGTAGTTGTGTTTCTCTGTGGTTGTGTTTCTCTGTGGTTGTGTTGATCTGTAGTTGTGTTGCTCTGTGGTTGTGTTGCTCTGTGGTTGTGTTGCTCTGTGGTTGTGTTGATCTGTAGTTGTGTTGATATGTAGTTGTGTTTCTCTGTGGTTGTGTTTCTCTGTGGTTGTGTTGATCTGTAGTTGTGTTGCTCTGTGGTTGTGTTTCTCTGTGGTTGTGTTGATCTGTAGTTGTGTTGATATGTAGTTGTGTTTCTCTGTGGTTGTGTTGATCTGTAGTTGTGTTTCTCTGTGGTTGTGTTTCTCTGTGGTTGTGTTGATCTGTAGTTGTGTAGCTCTGTAGTTGTGTTGCTCTGTGGTTGTGTAGCTCTGTAGTTGTGTAGCTCTGTGGTTGTATTGCTCTGGAGTTGCTGGAAAAAAATGAGGACGCGGATGCTCAATTTGGTCGCCCGTAGCCTTCAACGTGGATCCAGATGTCACGTGACCGGGGCCCTCTCCCTCCTCCCAGCACCCCCCTCCCTCCTTCCGACCCCCCTCCCACTACCCCTCCCCCCCTCTTCTCCCCCCCCCCCTCTTCTCCCCTCCTCTTCCCCCCCCTCCCACCCTTCTCCCCCTCCCCTCCCACCCTTGGCCCCTCCCACCACCTCTCTCTCCCCCACCCCCTCCCCCCTTCCCCCACCCCCTCCCCCTTCCCCCACCCCCTCCCCCTTCCCCCACCCCCTTCCCCCTCCCTCCACCTCCCGTGACCCGCCCCCACTTCCCACGTGACGAGTCGCCATGCTGCTACTGCTGCCCGCACTGCCCCTGCTGCTGCCCATGCTGCTGCTGCTGGCTCCGTGCGGAGTCGTGGCGAGCAGCAGCAGCAGGAGCAGCAGGAGGAGCAGCAGGAGGAACGCGCTGCTCATCCTCGGTACCAGCGGGGACCCGGGGCACGGGGAGAGCGGTGCGGGGCGCCTTGACGTCCCCCCCCCCCGGGCTTGGCTCTTCTTCCTCTTACCTCTTCCTCCTCCTCCCTCCTCTCGACATTTATTGTGAAAATTCCGTCACAGTTCCTATGATTGCTTTTTCATTTCGATTTAAAGCTTTCGTGACTGCAGGGATTCATCTTCTTGGTTCTTTCGGTAAAGTCACGTATATATATAATATATATAAAAATAAAACATAATAAAATAATATTTTATTTTATTATGTTTTATTTTTATTATTTTATTACTTCCCTTCTACGTGACTTTACCGAAAGAACCAAGAAGATGCTTTTTCATTGCTTTCGTGGCTTTATTTTGGTGATTTCGAAAAGTGTATTGGTTTTGCCATGTTTGTGTTGTTGTAGTAACAGAGTTAGACTGATGGCCTTAATCTAAGTTGTCTTGTGGTTGTTGTTGTTGTTTGACTTGCATCCCACTGGGATTTTTGCACACAGCGTTGGGTGTGTACGGTGCTTTTTTCTGCAATATTTTGCTGTCTTTTCTTGGATTTTCTGTTTGAACTTAGTCACATATTCACTTTCAGATGTTTTCTTGTTCAAGTTTTAGTTTTTTTGTGTTTGTTGCGGTTGCACCCGATTCAAGAGCCGAATGGCTCACAGGGCTACATACCTAATACACGAACTTGAAACTTGAACTCTCGCGCAGCCGACGATGGCGGCTTCGAGCTGGGCGCCTACAACAACACAGCCATCGGCACGCCGCACCTGGACGCGCTGGCGACCCGCAGCCTCCGCTTCGGCCACGCGTTCACCAGCGTCAGCAGCTGCTCGCCCAGCCGCGCAGCGCTGCTCAGCGGCCTGCCGCAGGTGAGTGTGTCACGTGTGTGTGTGTCACTTGTGTGTCACGTGTGTGTCACTGTGTGTCTGTCACTTGTGTGTGTGTCACTTGTGTGTGTCACTTGTGTGTGTGTCACTTGTGTGTGTGTCTGTCTGTCACTTGTGTGTGTGTGTGTCACGTGTGTGTGTGTCACTTGTGTGTGTGTCACTTGTGTGTGTGTCACTTGTGTGTGTGTCACTTGTGTGTGTCACTTGTGTGTGTGTGTGTCACTGTGTGTGTGTGTCACTTGTGTGTGTGTGTGTTACTTGTGTGTGTGTGTCACTTGTGTGTGTGTGTGTCACTTGTGTGTGTGTCACTTGTGTGTGTGTGTGTGTCACTTGTGTGTGTCACTTGTGTGTGTGTGTCTGTGTATGCCACTTGTGTGTGTGTGTGTCACTTGTGTGTGTGTGTGTGTAACTTGTGTTCGTTCTTTGTGTGCGTGTCTGTCTCTTGTGTACGTTCTGTGTGTCTGTCACTTGTGTGTCTGTCTGTCCCGTGTGTCTGTCTGTCCCGTGTGTGTGTGTCACTTGTGTACGTTCTGTGTGTCGTGACTGCTCGGAGACGAACGAAGGCCGTGCTCTCTTTTGTGTCCAGCACCAGAATGGCATGTACGGCCTCCACCAAGACGTCCACCACTTCAACTCGTTTGAACAAGTGCGGAGCCTCCCTCTGCTGCTCAACCAGTCGGGCATTCGGACAGGTGAAGGAGGACCGCTGCCGAGATGGCACCGCTCTGCCCGCTGCCAGACACTTCCTCGTGTGAATGTAGGCAGCAGCAGCTGTGGAGACAGCCTTGCTTCTCCTGCAGCTGATTGCGAGAATGCTCACTTGCGCTGCTTGCTTCTGTCAACATTGACCCGTCCCTCGGCGGCGACTCCTCCGCTGACGCCCTCGTAGAAAGCCCCCTGATCCACCTGCTCCACGCCACTGGTCCAGAATGTACCTTCCTTCATGGGCACCTGTAGGCTAATCTGCTCTGCACGTGGGCCGAATTATTCCTCCTCGTGCCTCTCGATTCGAGAGTGAGTGAACGAGAACCACAAGCCCGTTTAAATCTTTGTCCACAAATTATTGCAACTGTTAATAAGTCGCCCTCCTCGTACGCTCCGGTTACCTCTTTTGTTGTTGCCTGACACCCGATTCGTAATCTTATCCACGGTGTCGTGACACATGCGTCTCCCTGGTGTCTGCAGTCGCGTGTACGGCGTGCTTTCTGAATCCAATGTGTGGTGGTGGTGGTGGTGTAACGTTGTGCGAGGTTCGTCCCCCTGTATGGCGAGAACGCGATGCCTTGTCAATGAATGCACCGTCAATCCCTGCTGCGAGTTGGAGACTGGACCAGTTTTTAAAGCTGAAGAGCAACCAATTGTGCAACAGCGGTCTCTTCAATAGGAATACTACTGTATGAGAGATTTCGATTTAAAGCTTCTTTCGTGACTGCAGGGATTCATCTTCTTGGTTCTTTCGGTAAAGTCACGTAGAAGGGAAATAATAAAATAATATAAATAAAACATGATAAAATACAATTCTCACGACGTTTCGGCCACAATGCAAGCAGCCGTCCTCAGGTGAAGAACAGGTCTGTTGGAAAGACAACAACTTCAGACGCTGTCTTTCCGACAGACCTGTTCTTCACCGCAAGCAGCCGTCCTCAGGTGAAGAACAGGTCTGTCGGAAAGACAGCGTCTGAAGTTGTCTTTCCGACAGACCTGTTCTTCACCTGAGGACGGCTGCTTGCGTTGTGGCCGAAACGTCGTGAGAATTGTATTTTATTATGTTTTATTATTATTTTATTATTTCCCTTCTACGTGACTTTACCGAAAGAACCAAGAAGATGTTTATGAACACTTGCCTCGATGCTAATTTGAGCAAGAGATCATTCAGCGGTCGGCAACAGTGTTTCATTTTTGCAGCCAAATGGATCATTGTTCTTCCTTCCTAGTTGTTCCACGAGGAGTGAGTACTCGGAAGCGTTGTGTACTCCCAGTGCAATCGCTTCTAGGTGTACTGTCTTGGGATTGTGGAGGCTTCCCATGGAAGAGGTTGCTTTGACTGTGTGATGCCGCAGGTATTATCGGGAAGAAACACGTAGGACCCGAAGCCGTCTACCCTTTTGAGTTTTCATATACTGAAGAAAACAACTCGATCCTTCAGGTTGGACGGAACATTACGCGCATCAAACAGCTAGTGAGAGCTTTCCTGCGTATGGACGATGGCAGGTACCTGACAATCTTGTTCCTCCTAACCCTACGGCAACTTCCTTTGCCAGTGCACTTACACCGGCACACATTCGTATCTCACAGGGACCCGTGCATCTTACAGGGATACGTGTCTCTTATCCTAGGCCGTTCTTCCTGTACGTGGCCTTTCATGATCCACACCGTTGTGGCCATTCCCAGCCCCAGTTTGGATCTTTCTGCGAGAAATTTGGGAATGGAGAGCCTGGAATGGGGACAATCCCTGACTGGAAACCCCGTCACTATAATCCCGACGATGTGAAGGTACGCACACTCAATTATTAACACTTCACCTGAGAAGCTTACGTAGTAAATGTGAAACGGTTATGGGTTACGCTCTTCCACTCTACCTGCACTGGTGGAATTGACATGGCGTGCCCTTGTCTTTGCATGAGTTAGATAGTCCACCGCCGGACTATCTATTTGCTTAAACACGTTAATGATTAATCCTTGATCGTTTGTGCGTGGATTAAATATTGGCCGTTCTATAGGATGGGGGGGGTCAAGCGTACCTACGCAGGCGGGGGGGGGGGGGGGGTAAAAAGTACGCGTGCGTACAGGGAGGGGGGAAGGGGTCAAGTTTTGACAGATTTTTGCGTACGTACTAAATGGATGGCCCCTTATGTGGCTGATAGGCCACCGGATGATTAGCACGGCCGGATTTTGCTACAATCAGCCTGGCAGACTTGACAAAATGTAGGATTCGTTTGAAAACACAGTGAGGCTTTGCTGAATAAATAATAGAATATTTTTATAATCAAAACCTGGGATGCTAATGGCTGAGATGACCAGGCCTCATGTTAATGTAGAAACTAAATTGGAGGTGATAAACATTCCCGGTTGATGTTTTATTTCAAAGTGAGGACGGCGAAGGTGGTGCATTGAGGTCCCCCTGTTGCCCTGTCCACTCAGGTGCCCTACTTCGTACCAGACACGCCCACAGCGCGCGCGGACCTCGCCGCACAGTACACGACCATCGGACGCTTGGACCAAGGTATCGCGTCCTAACGCGCCTCGAGGCTTCGCGACAACAGCCTGTCCTCGGGGTGTCTTCGTTATTGATTCATCCTCCATCCTTGAAAGTACTCACTTTCCTACATATTAGATATTAAAGGGGTGGTGATGTGGCACAACGGCGGTGCGTTTATTGCTTTTTGCAAAAGTTCTAGGTTCGAATCCTGCAGGTCGCCCTGGTTAATACTGCCGTTGTATCAGCCATAAAATATGCGCCATCTGCTTTCCAGTGGACGCTCATGATTCTGTGATCAAAAATGTGTCCGATTAGAAAAATGTGCACGTTACAAGTTGTGTTTATAAATATTCCGTGCTGGCATCGCAGTACAAAATTTTTAAAAGTAAAAAATATGACCCGCTAAATTTCTTAATTTGGAAACACATAGAAATCATTGATCTCGATTGGGAAAAGTTAGCAGGACCCTCTTTCAAAAGTCTTAAGACTCAGTGGGGCTTTCCTGGGTAAACAAGCATAATATATAAAAAGTCAAAGTAAATAGGTGTACACCGCATACACATTGACAAAATTGAGCGTTTTATTTAGCTGAAGAGCCAATTCAAAAGCCTGAACAAGGTGTACAGGATGGAAGCAAACAATACATACGCAAAAGGTGTCTTAAACAGCAAAACAAGGAATGCCACAATCCAGGCTTTTTGAGCTGCTTCCATTACAAGGTTGTGCAGAATGTAACCACAATGGTGATGTCAACCTAGCACGCAATGCAAGATAAAACTCCGACTAAACAAATGACACTTATATAGCATCTAACTGCAAGCCGTATCTCAACATGTTCTACACAGTGTGAAATAAGTTCTACAGACATAGGATAGGGAAACATGGGAGAGGAGAGAAAGCAATGCACAGCACGGTTCGGGATGAAGGAATTAGGGCCCAGCACCAAAAACAACAGCAAACATGAGCCCCAGGGGCAGGAACAAGTGAGCCCCAAGGCAAACCCTGGAGGGCTCGCAGTCAATTCACCAACGAGTTCCAGGGGCAGCTGGGGCAGCTGGGGCAGCTGGGGCAGCATTAATTAATCCTAGACGAGGCCCGGGCGAGATGGGAGGAACAAGGATGTGGAGGAGAGGCCAGGCAAGGCTCAGGAGATAGTGTGAGGGTTAGGCCAAGCAATGGACAGGGAAAAAAAAAACATGTCAGCGAAAAAAAAGATAGCGGTAGGGAGGCAGTGAAGATGACGAGAAAAAGTTTTAAACCACATTTTAGCGTGTATCATATCCACAGTAAAAACATGGCCGGGTAGCTCAGCAGTAGAGCAAGCAGCTCGCAATGGGAAGATTGCGAGTTTAAATCCTGGTTGGGGTTGCCAATCATACTTCCGGGGTCAATACGAGTGCCATTTTCAGGCAAGTAAACAGTGGTTGTCCTGCGTAGACTGGCCGCCGCCACCATAGCAGTGCAGAATTTCCACCACTGTCTCAGGACTCTAAACAGTGTATGACCACCTCCTCTGCGCAATTGAGCAGGAAATCGCTGAATAAGGCGGCAGCTTGTGCAATAGACCGCTCGCCCTTGAGCAGATGTTCCTACGCGAAGGCCGACCCCCCGTGCCGTCCTTACTGCAGGCGTGGGGCTGGTGCTGGAGGAGCTGCGGAGCGCCGGCTACGCGGACGACACGCTCGTGCTCTACAGCTCCGACAACGGGATCCCTTTTCCCGGCGGCCGCACCAACCTGTACACGGGCGGTGTGGCCGAGCCGCTGCTCGTGTCCTCCCCGGAGCACCGCGAGCGCTGGGGCCACAGCAGCGAGGCCTACGTGAGCCTGCTGGGTACGCACAAGATGGCGCTTTCTCTCGCGCATGGCATTTGAATAATTCATAATCAACGTTTTTGGGTTTAGATCGCGTTATTTATAAATGTGTCGTAACCCTCCACCACCCGACACGGCCAATCAGTAAAAAAGTGTCACGTTGACAAAAGACAAATAGTTCACTGCTTTAGCCCACCGGTGTGTTGAAGCGTGAAACCACAACATTTACAATTTGAGTACGACGTTTCGCTGGTAATTGCATCCAGCTGGATGCAATTACCAGCGAAACGCGATCTAAACCCAAAAACGTTGATTATGAATAATATTGGTCGCGAAAGCCTACGTGTTAAACATTTGAATAGTAACGGACAAAACGTAAAGTGTGTCGATGGCATCAGGAGCTGTCCGATGAACACATTCACAATTGGGTGACTATCCATCTGTGAAGGAAATCGCCGCATGTGCCGTGCGTTCGAACGCGGCAGTGCTTGGGGGTGAGGAACCGCGGCGGGCTCAGAGGGGAAGTTGCGACTCGGACTGAGTTTCCGCAGAGAAAAATTAATCGTGAACGGACGTATACATTTGTGTTCCTCTTATCTTTTCTCCGTACCTCTTATTTGAGTAAATTACAAATAAAAAAGTGTACAGGAAACGTCAATGGCACTGAAATTGGTGCTTAGCAGTTTGGTTTACCGGTGTGTTACAGATCACGATGTCGGCGCCATTCCACATTTTTGTGGCCCTGTTCATGCTCTTAATGAGAATGTGTCTCCAAACCCTTGCAGACATTACGCCGACGCTGCTGGAGTGGTTCTCGGTGCCTTATCCCGACTACGCCATGTTCAAGAAGGATGAGCCCGTAGTGCTGACAGGACGCTCGCTTCTTCCAGCTCTCCAACAAGAACCACCGTGGGACATTGCCTTTTCCAGCCAGAGCCACCACGAGGTCACGATGTACTACCCCATGCGGGCCCTGCGCCACGGCCACCTCCACCTGATCCACAACATGCACTTCCTCATGCCTTTCCCTGTGGACCAGGATCTGTACGTGTCCCCCACCTTCCTAGACCTGCTCAATCGCAGCATGCAGGGCCAGCCTACTCACTGGTACAAGAGCCTACGGGAGTTCTACTACCGTGAGCGCTGGGAGCTCTACGACACGCGCGCCGACCCGGCAGAGACTCGCAACCTGGCACACGACGCGGCCTACGCGGACACACTGCGCACCCTGCAGCAGCAGCTGCGGGCCTGGCAGTGGGCCACTTACGACCCTTGGGTGTGCGCGCCAGATGGCGTCCTAGAGGCACAGGGACAGTACAAGCAGCATCCGCAGTGTCTGCCACTACACAACCTACTGTGATGGCTGGCCAGCAACAACTGTAAAAAACATGACGCTTTTATATGTTGTTGTCGAGGGGACTGATGAGATTGGATGTTAGCTATTAAGAGAACGTGATGATTTGTGTCAATTGGGATTTTTTTTTTACGACTTGAAAATGAAGAGTTATAATCCGAGTGATTCCCAGCCATGGATATCAGAGTGATATCTGAACTGGTCATGGGGCCTCATCACCAACCCGCATTGACCAGCGTGGCCAAGTATGGTCAAACATCCACTCGACCACCACAGCGTGGGGAGGCCTTTATCCAGCTTTGGATTGACAATGATCTGTAAATTATAGATGAGTGTGCATCCCTCGGAAAATTGCTGAAGGCAGACCAGGACCAAAATGGTGATGAGCAATTCAGAGCAGGTTGGAGTGCTCTTTGAAACTGAGAAACAGCCATGGTTGATAAGTTGAGTAGCTGATGGCTGGTCCATGATTTAGCGCTTATCCAGAATCATCATTGACTTGTGGTTTTGAATTCAAGTGGTGCACTTAAGTGGTTTGGTATCGCGATTGTTGGGGGTGCACTTTGATAAACCTGTTTAAAGTGTTGCATCACGTCTCCGCCGTCATTCAACAACATTCCACAAGCATCTCAATCACTCGAGCAGTCAAAGGTTGAAATAAACCTGACTCGCGCATTCAGTAACTTTAATTACAAGTCTTGGCACCTGATAAAACAAACATTAAATGAAATATTAACTGTTGAAGTCGGCAAGAACATTAGGTCAGTCCTGAGCCTGGGCAGACAAAACAACGCATTCACTCTGCCGCTGCCCGCATTACAAACTCGTCCTTAAATTGCACAAGGTTCTAATTATGCCCTGAAGAGTTTCCCCAAAGAGATGGTCCCTTTCAGGAATAACAGTACTGTACAGCATGGGTAAATTCAAACATTTCAATGTAATATGAAATACATGGCAACGTTGGCCTCTATGCACAAGTGAGGAGCAGCTAGAAAGTAAAGTTAATTCCCAAACCCAATGAAATAGAATGGTCACCTCCGAAATGTGAACAGGGAGACTGTCAATCCTTATCAATAATAACCTGAGCTGACCTTCAAACTGGTGACAGCCCACGGATAAACCTTGACTTGTAGAGAGCAAACCAATGCTCACTTTGTAACCGGCTTTTCCACTGGAAACATCTGCCTCGCGTCTTATGTCTCACAATTTTGCAAGTCCACTTTGCTCGGGTAATCCCCATAGGACTTGCGAATCAGCTGTGGGTTATCTTTTTCCCGTGGCGATTGGTCCCATTGGACGTGCATGCACACCCCCATTCAGCCACCCATCCCCTCCCCATATTAGTAAAATGTACAATGAAAGCCAGTACCAAGTTAATAGGGACTCGCAACAAAAATGTCAGCTGTTCATTGTAAAATGAGAAGCGTTGTGAGCTCATAACCTAAGAAACCGTGCGATGAGAGGGTACAGGGTTCGCGGGATTCGCTGGGGGCCCTACTGCGACATGCCAGCGCTGCCCAGGTCACGCGAGAAGGGTGGCGCTTGGTACGAGTCCGAGTCCGGGAGTTGTGCAGCGGCGGGGCTGGGGTCCGTGTACTCTTCTCCAAAGTGGGCGCCCAAGCGGTACTTCTGGAAGACGAAGATCGTGAGCCCGACCTGGACACAATCAAGTACACAATTGGGTTGGGCTATGCTTTTTCAAGCCAACATCTACATGTAATTTTGCAGAAGCCTGGCTAAAAGCACGCAACCTATTGAAAGCAGGCCACACGGCTGGGCGAGAATCTGGGTTGAGCCCACAGGATGGTGAACATGCCGGCCTAATTTTATGCATCATGGGAACATCGGCTGCTCTGTGTATGAACTTCTTTCGCACCACACATAGCCAACCGTGCTAATCGGATGTGCAGGGGAAGAACAAACTAAAACTAATTCTAGATTTGAAGCTTTCGTGACTGCAAGGATTCACACTCTTAGGTTTATTCGGTAAAGTCACGTAGGTAAAAAATATGATTATAATTAATAAAAGTAATAGAAATATTATTTTATTTCTATTATTACTTTTATAAATTTTATTTTTTACCTACGTGACTTTACCGAAAAAACCTAAGAGTATGAAACTAAAACTACCCCCTGCGTGTGGTTGGTGCACGGGGCAGGTGGAGTGGGGTTGGCATTACCCAGGTCGGGATGGAGAAGAAGGAGAAGGCAATGGCAGCACGAGCGCTCCCCCCCACAATGTCCATCCAGGATGCGAAGGCGGTCTTGCTCCATTGGTTCGTCAGGAAACAGAAGCAGACGAACCACAAGAATGCCCAGAGCCCTGCAGCATGGGTCACACGGCACAGCTGTCGTAGCACTCGGCGCAAAAGCGTGCAAAACACATTCCTGCGGAGGGAGCTGGTAGGAACGTCGGGTTGCTCGGTCAATGGCCAGGGTCAACGGCGGCGTGGTGTATTCTGCAAATATGCCCGACTGTGAGGGCGGGCACAAGCCGGCGTGAGTAGGTTAAACGTTGAGTTTTATCAGGGCACCACGGGGTGACCAGCCCCTCCCCACCCAGCCCCACCCCTCCCACCCAGCCCCACCCCTCCCACCCAGCTCCACCCAGCCCCACCCAGCCCCACCCTCCCCACCCAGCCCCACCCAGCCCCACCCTCCCCACCCACCCAGCCCCACCCTCCCCACCCACCCAGCCCCTCCCTGCACGACGGACACAATAATCCCCTGGGGGCTGGTGTAACCAGGAGGTTCCCACCAGTATAATATAGAACCCATAGGAGCGGGCACACACAGGTGGTGCCGCTTGGCAGACTAAGTGTGAATGAGGTCCCAACCTCGCGGTTCCCAAATATGATTTGACAAGTGGTGATTCATGACTCCCATACTGCCGAGTGTGCTACACCTCGGCTCCAGCCTTTGGAGAAGGATAATGCTACTTCCTTCACCCTTAAAATCACTGAGAAGTGTGGCATTGCCAAGTGCAACCCCTCGGCCTCCCTGAGCCTCAGATGCTCGGGTTGAAGGACACCAAACCCAGAAATATGTTTCAATCGGGACAACTCCAGTATTATGTAAACCCAGACATGATGAGTGCATCCGGGATTGTTCATTCCTGCCACCGGAAACACGCAACGATCGATCCGCAAATACGAAGGAGACATCACAGTGATACACTCCGCTGCTCCTGACGCGGTTATCTGGTTTGACCACCTGGAATGTGAAATTGTAGTTGTTGCTCCACATCTACATCAGCCGTACGAAAGAAGACCAGACGCCAATTCGTGGCTCAAACCCGGACACTTTGGCAAAGCCTGACTCGTAACCCTGACTCTCACCAGAGAGGCCCAGTTCTCCTAGCACCGCGACCTTGCGGTGCTGCACGCTGCTGATGTCGGCGAAGCGCAAGTCGAGCACGAGGAAGGCGAGGGCCGAGACGGCCGAGAGGATGGCCGTGGCAGTGGCCAGGCCGCACGCGTGCTCATTGGCGTTGTAGACGCAGTGCAGCGTGGAGCTAAAAGGGTGGTTGATGTGGCCCTCGCCCACGATGCAGCCAAACACCACGATGGCAAACACCTGCAGGGCACACAGGGGCTGTAAGGGCCGTGTTCACACACGGAATGTATGGCTCCTGTGCAATAACGACCCTCAATATATTTTCATGTTTCTAAAAATTTTGTTTTATTTTACTCTGATTTTAAAAGTAATTTGCCTTAAATAACTTTTGTTTCAGGAAATGTATTTTATTTAACGTTGATTTATGTTTGTGCACTGTTTTGGGTGTATCTTGTAACGCAGTTGTTTTCTTTGATTTCTAATTGCTTCATCGATGGCCTTGTTCTTATGTTGTTGGGTTTTTAACGTCTCGGACCCAGACCATACTTCTAAATGAAACTCCTCCTGCTCTCTTGAGTTCCCTCTCACCTGATTACACGAAATAAACTTGAAACAATTCTAGATTTGAAGCTTTCGTGACTGCAAGGATTCATACTTTTTAGGTTTTCGGTAAAGTCACGTAGGTAAAAAATAAAATTAATAAAAGTAAAATAAAAATCACGACGTTTCGGAGGCAACACAAGCTTCCGTCTTCAGGTGGAACCGTCACAGCACGATTGCTGTATCAAGTAAAGAGAAATTCCAAAAGACCCGACCTTGTATCGTGGCATCTCTTGAGGAAGGCCAGCGTCTCGAGAAGCTGTGACTTCTTGTCTTGTCTGTTAAAAACTCTAACAGATAGGTGGAATTCCTCCCCGTAGAGGGTATACAAGAAGTCACAGCTTCTCGCGACGCTGGCCTTCAAGAGATGCCGCGATAAAAGGTCGGGTCTCTTGGAATTTCTCTTTACTTGATACAGCAATCGTGCTGTGACGGTTCCACCTGAAGACGGAAGCTTGTGTTGCCTCCGAAACGTCGTGATTTTACTTTTATTTTATTTTTTACCTACGTGACTTTACCAAAAAAACCTAAGAGTGGGAAACTTGAAACATTCAGGAGCGCAATGGATACGACGTTCGGTCACATTACAGGGTAGCTACAGTTTCCGGGATGGACTTAATAACGTGGTTTACAGGAAGTGAGAGGCAATAAGGGTTGGGGGGATCACTAAGGGTTGGGGTAAAGCCACGGGCTCTGAAACGTTCCAAGCCACCATACTTGAGGAAATATCGCAAATGAAATTCGATGAGAAATAACGAGCGGAAGACAGAGAATCTCTGTGGCTGTACGATGACATAAGACCGCATTTTTTTGGACACAATGTGAAAAAAAATACAATTCACTTTGGGTCAGCGTTTATATTGAGGGATCTGAGTTGATGGGCAGGGGTCGGGAACCTTTTTGCCTGGGAGAGCCATAAAAGCCAAATATTTCTAAATATATTTCATTGAGAGCCATATAGTATTTTTAACGTATAATAAATTAAATATGTCTTACTTTTAATGCGACTTCTGGTGCTGCATGGTTTTGCTGATGGCCTTGTAGTCTGGTTCATACGTGGTGAGGTTGAGCTTCGTGCAGGCGTGACCCGTGAAATTTATCTTCAAAACTAATTTCTGTTTACTTTAAAATGACACAGTATTATTAAGCAATATCACAGGTATTTTAAAATCAGTTCCAAACTGATTTTTTTTTTCTTTTTTCAACTCAAAATTGTCTGGGAGCCATATGCCGTCACTGGAAGAGCCATACATGGCTCGCGAGCCATAGGTTCCCGACCGCTGGGTTAGGGCTTATGGTTTGGGTATATAGGTTAAGGTGTAGGCTTTGCGTTTCTGGTTAGGACTACGGTTCAAGGACCATACTCTTCGGTTCTTTCGGTAAAGTCACGTATTTTTTGTTTTAATTTGTTTTATTTCTACCTACGTGACTTTACCGAAAGAACCAAAGAGTATGGATTCCTGCAGTCACGAAAGCTTCAAATCAAGGTTTAGGGACCAGTTTGTACCTAAGACTGCGGCAACTGCCCCCTCTGTAGAAGAGTAATTTCAGTGTAAGCCTCGTGTTTTCTTTTTGGTTTCCGGACGAATTTCCATTTATCCCAACTGACCAGCTCCCGCAGCGTTGTGATGGACTGCGTTGAATATTAGCAACGGGTGGAATCCGTCACGCGGAGTCGAATGCACAGCGACTGTTGTTGTTATGATAAAAATCTCCCGTCGCGTTTGGCAGTGGTTTCTGAACCAGCATTCGGCAGGACGCACCCTGGCCTTAAACATAAAAACAGATATACACATCGGCGACGCTTCAGGGAAACGGTACCTTGTGAATTGTACATAGGCCTGAGAATAAGAGTTGGAGACTAACCACACCCAATTGCATCGTCAGCACTCAACAACAACACTCACTACTCACCCAAACCTTCACCAACTCGCTCACCCAGCCTGACTGCAGTCTACACCACGATGCCTGCTGTGAAGTTACAATATCTCTATGCAAGGCCGTAATTATAATTTATAATAATCAAATATGCTCAAAATGTCCCCCCAATATATTGCTATAAATTTTTTTTTTTAAATAATTGCGATGCTATGTAAATAAAAACAATTTGCTAAACCTTGGCCACAACATCTGGACTTGTCTTCATAAAACAATGCATAGATTTCTGTTTATATGATGGTGGTTATGATTGTACTTTATGAATCCCTAATCTCTGCCATTACATACAATGAAACAAGAAAAGGTAAAATAAAGTAAAAACAGAGCAATGTAATACAATACACTATAAGATATTATTGTGAAAAATAGATACATAAATCCATCCCATGTGGTAGTGAATTTTTTAATATTTTAGGCAGAAAATTACTTTTCAAATTAACATTTTTCTTCTGGGATTGGGACCCCCAGAACCCCTGGAAGATTTGGTGCCCCCCAATGTTGACTCCATGGCTACGGCCTTGTCTCTATGGCCTCCCTATTTAAAGTTCCACGAAGAGCCCATTGCTCAAGCCGTCGTCAATTGCATATAGAGGTTTCCTCTTAGACCGCCCTGTGATTGAGTTGTCTTATTGGAGTCCATGCCAGAACGCATTCGCTGCATCCGAACAGCTAAGGGCCTCACCCACCAACACCAGCTCACTCACCCGGCGTGATCAACACCAGAATCACTCAGCCCCTCCAACACCCACTCACCTGACTCCTCACTCACCCCCTGCCTCACTCACCGTGCTGCAGATGCTCAGAATCGTCGTGGGACGTTTCACAAAAGCGACAAAATCAAAGTTGCTCCCCGCAGGCCCGGCACCATAGGCTCCCTCCATGGCTGCAGTCACCTGGTGACGTCACCGTGACCTCACAAGGTGCGGCTCCCCTCCACGTGTTCCACCCCCCTTCCTACCCCACCCCCCTTCCTACCCCACCCACCCCACTTCCTACCCCACCCACCCCACTTCCTACCCCACCCACCCCACTTCCTACCCCACCCACCCCACTTCCTACCCCACCCACCCCACTTCCTACCCCACCCACCCAACTTCCTACCCCACCCACCCAACTTCCTACCCCAACCCACCCCACTTCCTACCCCACCACCCCACTTCCTACCCCCCCACCCCACTTCCTACCCCCCCCACCCCACTTCCTACCCCCCCCACCCCACTTCCTACCCCCCCCACCCCACTTCCTACCCCCCTACCCCACTTCCTACCCCCCTCCCTCCCCACCCCATCCCCCTTCCTCCCCCACCCCCCCCTTCCTACCCCCCTTCCTACCCCCCTTCCTCTCCCACCCCTTCCTCCCCCACCCCCCTTCCTACCCTACCCCCCCCTTCCTACCCCACCCCCCCCTTCCTACCCCACCCCCCCTTCCTACCCCACCCTCCTTCCTCCCCCACCCTCCCTACCCCACCCTCCTTCCTACCCCACCCCCCTTCCTCCCCCACCCCCCTTCCTACCCCACCCTCCTTCCTCCCCCACCCCCCTTCCTCCCCCCACCCCCCTTCCTACCCCACCCCCTTCCTCCCCCACCCCCCCTTCCTCCCCCACCCCCCCTTCCTCCCCCACCCCCCCTTCCTCCCCCATCCCCTTCCTACCCCATCCCCTTCCTACCCCACCCCCACCTCCCTTCCTCCCCCATCCCCTTCCTCCCCAACCCCCCTCCCTACCTTCCTTCCTCCCCCACCCCCCTTCCATCACACGTCGTCACAAAAAGTCAGACCTCCACTCAAATATGACGTCACAAAGCTCTGCGCCACCCCCCAAAAAAAATAAAACATGCTTCCAATTGCTTTAAACTATTGTCATTGTAGTGCGTATTTAACGTGGCGATACACTGATGTTGTAGGAGGAAACATTTATTAAAAAGTATGTTTAATCAAGTAGAACGTGTTGTCTATATTTATTTAAAGTTGCGCATTTTCATGTGACGTCACATTTCTCAAACCCCCCCCCTCCTCGTCACACATCGTCACAAATGCCTGACCCCACCCCCTCCTAGGTGCGTGACGTCATTTATGGGCGTCCCCCAAGTGCGAGTGCAACAATTCCGCAGACACACTGCACGTGCAAACCTGCCCAGTAGCCTTGTACTGAATGCTGCTGGAACTCCGCACTCCTGGGAGAATGCCGTGTGGCTGATGGGATGTGTAAACATGGTTTTAGTGTCGCGGGACCAACAGCAGCATGTCCATCACACAACCGTGCAGAGCACACAGCACGAAGGGCTTTGGACGATGGCATCACGCGATCTTGTTGTGCTCAACATGTCGCATGCCGGTTTCATCATTGTCAGGACTCATCCTCGCAGTACAGCCATAATAGCTCACTGCACCTGGGCACAGATCAGGTACAGCCGAAGGGTGGGGGGTGGTGGGCAGACTGCGGCATGCATACCGTGCAGGAGAAATGTCTTGTGCAGGGGACATTGCGGAAACAAACCACACAGATATACATTGAGGCAGAACGGCGCGGTGACGAGACGCGTGGGCAAGTCATCTCTCTGGGTATCACACACAGACACACACAATTCTATCACCCCATATCACACACACACACCATGCCGTGACCCAATATGATACACACACCATGCCGTTACTCCAGATCATACACACACAATACTGTCACCCCATATCATAAACACAAACCATACTGTCACCTAATATCATACACACACACACACACCATGCCATCGCCTTAATTACTCGCAGCTCTTCGTGCTCACGCCCCCCTCACATTCTCCACTTAAACACGAGCTGTAGTCACATGCTCAGCTGGACGTCGTGTGCTCCTGTTTGCCGCCGATTTGAGAATCGCTTTCGCTGCCACCGCCCGGCAAGCCTCCCGTCACCACGCAAGGGCACCACACTCCTATTTTTATTTATTAGGAAAATGACAATTCCATGACATAAAACAGGTGATATTAACACAATTTCAGGTACAATATTCCCTAATTTGGTTTCCGAGGGACAAAGAATGGTCCTCCCTCCTCACTCCACACGCTCGGCATTAAAATTTTAATTACAGGGCCGCTAAGCACCCAGGGGTAGCCGCCGTCGCTCTAGGGATTCCGACTGGACCGAATTGCCACCGTGGCTCCCGGAAAGACATCACCACGGTCGGCGCCAACGACACGGATCGCACCATCAGCACCGACACCGTCAGCGACAGCAACGACACCGCCCGCACCGTCAGCACCGACCGCACCGTCAGCACAGTCCGTACTGATACCATCAGCACCGAGTGGAGTAACAGCTCGCATGGTGGTCCCGGGACAAATAGAAGCGTGTGCGGGTCCTGCTCGCACAACAAGTCGTTGTGTGGTTGGTTAGGAGTATAACTGTGTGGTTGTTGTGTAGTTGAGTAGGGGTATCACTGTGTGGTTATTGTGTGGTTGGGTAGGGGTATCACTGTGTGGTAATTGTGTTGGGTAGGGGTATAACTGTGTGGTTGTTGTGTAGTTGAGTAGGGGTATCACTGTGTGGTTATTGTGTGGTTGGGTAGGGGTATCACTGTGTGGTAATTGTGTTGGGTAGGGGTATCACTGTGTGGTTATTGTGTGGTTGGGTAGAGGTATCACTGTGGTAATTGTGTTGGGTAGGGGTATAACGGTGTGGTTGTTGTGTAGTTGAGTAGAGGTATCACTGTGTGGTTATTGTGTGGTTGGGTAGGGGTATCACCATGTGGTCACTCTGCTGTGGCCACTGTGGTGGTCACTGTGGTTGTCACTGTGTGATCGCTTTGTGGCAGTCAATGTGTGGTGGTCTCTGTGTGGTTGTCAATGTGGTGGTCTCTCTGTGGTTGTCAATGTGGTGGTCTCTGTGTGGTTGTCACTGTGGTGGTCTCTGTGTGGTTGTCAATGTGGTGGTCACTGTGTGGTTGTCAATGTGGTGGTCTCTGTGTGGTTGTCAATGTGGTGGTCACCGTGTTATGATCACTGTGTAGCGGTCACTCTGTGGTGGCCACTGCCACGCGCCGCACCGTCTTCGGGAGCAGGCAGAGCGCGTGGCCGAGCAGTGCGAACCCCAGCGTCACCACGTGCATCACGAAGTAGACGGAGCGCCAGTAGCGGACGGTCTCCTCGTAGCTCAGCAGGATGAAGCCCATGCACATGTAGTCGAACGCGCGCATCTTCAGGAACCAGTGAACCCAGTCGAAGAGCGGCGTGCGCGAGGGGGGCAGGCGGTCCCGTACCGCGCGCTCCATGGACGTCTCGGCCGCCAGGCACAGCGGGATGGTGAGGAAGCTCAGGTAGTAGCCGGGATGGATCCCGTGCCAGAACGCGCTGATCAGCATCGTAACCGCGCTCCTGCACGCGGGCACAGGCAAAGCCACGTGGCATCAGTTGCGTTGAACCTCAACCCACGTTCCAGACCACAACTGCGATGCTCTTGTTCATCAACGCAGATGCACGTTACCGAACCCGTGACCCGTCATGGGCTATGGCCGCCATTGCATCTTGAGATATTTCATTTTCGACGCGATACAAAGTGACGCTGCCCAGTAATGACTACAATAATTAAAGCAGAAGAAGGTAGTGGGGACACGTTAATAAGATGAACGCAAAGATGTGTGAAATAAACTCGGTTGAGTGTAATTTACCTCCATAAAGACAGGCGAAGCCAGTCTTTTCATTCACAATTGCCACGCTGCCATATGGATACAGAGGGCGTATTGCACTCTCTACGACAAATACACTAAAACCCGATTTGAAGCTTTCGTGACTGCAAGGATTCATACTCTTAGGTTTTTCGGTAAAGTCACGTAGGTAAAAAATTAAAATTAATAAAAGTAAAATAAAAAATCACGACGTTTCGGAAGTCTTTACTTGATACAGCTATCGTGCTGTGACGGTTCCAAGTAAGTTCTTTACTTGATACAGCAGTCGTGCTGTGACGGTTCCACCTGAAGACGGAAGCTTGTGTTGCCTCCGAAACGTCGGGATTTTTATTTTACTTTCATTAATTTTCATTTTATTTTTTATCTACGTGACTTTACCGAAAAAACCTAAGCGTACACTAAAACCCGGTTTTCCCAGCGTTATTCTGCATTGCCGATAACTCCAGTGCAATGCTGCGTCGCCGGCGCCTGCGGCCTACGCAACGCAGACGACGACACCTCGCCTGCGACGACTGCCTTTCGCATTTTTCATGTAAAGTGAAGGACGCGCGTGGCCGGACACGCACCGTAGGATGTACGATTGAACGGGGCCTCTTGTAGATGTACTGAGCCAGCCACCACTGCACCGTCATGTTCCAGTAGCGCATGCCGTCCTTCACGCGCACGCAGAAGTCCGTGCTGTAGTAGTCGATGTTCTTGATGCTCTCGTAGTCGTATTCCACGGTGCGGCTCTCCTGCTCATCACTGAGGAGACAGGCCAAAAAGGCAGTGAATCTTGCTGCTCAAAGGAACATCAGAGGAACGTCAAAGAAGCACCTTCTCCTGTATACAGCCCTGAGCCAGTGGTGGAAATTCCACATTCCTATGGCAGGGGTGAGTCTATACGTAGGGCAACCACTGCTGACTTTCCGACAAAGTGATGCCTTGACTTAAAACTTTCGTGACTGCAAGAATTAATATTCTTTGGGTCTTTCGGTAGAGTCACGTCATCAGGAGAAAAAAAGATGACTGCTTGCGTTGCGATCGAAACGGCGTAGCTTTTTGTTATTTTCTTTGAACCTATCTACGTGACTTTACCGAAAGACCCAAGAATATAAAGTGATACCTATTTATCAATCCCGCGGTGATTACAATGTATAAAAATGGCGTGCAAATGTGTTGAGGCTAATAGAATGACAAGATGGAATGAACAACACTGGATGTATGCGAAAGGCAGTACAAACCAGTGGTACAAATGAGACAACTGGGAAGGGAATTCTCGTGACTGCTTCGTGAAAAATGATCGATTCTCAAGGGGGTGAGTCCTTAAGATCGTACTCATGAGCCACAGATCACACATGGCTACAGCAATCGGTCTTGAGTCCACGGGCCAGAGCAGAAATCGGCACCACCTACAATCGCAAAGCTTGAGTTGTACCGATTATTTAAACGGCCTATAAGAGTGAATTATTTGATAACCACTCAATTCAAGTGGTTATCACATAATTCACCATCATTGGCCACAATGGAAATTTCAACGACTAAAGTTGCGCCACCGCAGGTGCAGCGACAAGTGGACTATCGAATAATAATGAATTCTATTATACAGCACTTTTCCCACGTTCAAAGCACTGAACAGTAAGCACTGGTCTGAATTCATAGACTGTCCCGCTTCTACTGCCCTGCCACCTTCCCCCGGTGCTCACAGGGGCTCCTCGTTCCCTATTCCCCGACTACCAGATCCCACTGGGTCTCGATCGATGCGCGCCGTCACCTGGACTTGAGAACCCACTGCATTGTGGGGCCCCCTCCCGAGCGTGCCTTGCCTCGCGCGGGTAGGCCCCGAGCCCCGCGGCCATGCAGGTGCACTCCGCCAGGATCCAGCCACGTAGAACCGCATGCGGAAAATAAAAAACATCGGCACCATGAAGAACAGGCGGTAGGGGAGGCCGCGCTCGTAGAAGTCGTCCTGCCGCGCCTCGTCCAGGTTGAAGAAGGCCGAGGCAAGGAGGAAGAACGCCCCGAGCATGGGCACGTGCTTCAGCCGTAGCAGCATGGGCTTCCAGCTGGGCACATGCGCTCCTTGCTGCTCCTGCACCCAGTCGTGGTACGTGCGAAAACCGGTAGAAGGGACCTGCAGCAGCAAAGAAGGAGTGCAGCCGTTAGGGCCCTGCAGGGCTCCTGGGATTCGCGTTGCACGACAGCGCAAGTGATCCGCACCGCAGCGCACCACACTATGGGGCAACGTACCACAGTGCATCGCACTACAGAACCTACGTGAGAGCGCACCCCACGACGATAATGGCTGAGAAGCCGAGTAACCACTCAGAGGGATAGTGGTAGAGCAGTGGAGAAGGTATAGTGGTAAAGCAGTCGAGAAGTTATTGTGGTAAGCAGTTGATAAGCTAAAAGCACATTGTAAGATTTGAAGTTGTGGAATGATATCGAGCCAATACAACAGCAAGTAAGATTAAAAAGACTCAAAGTGAGGGCTGCAGAATACATCTTGAAGGAAAGAGAGAAGACAGATTTGCCGACTGGAGAAGGAAGGGCATTACACTTTAGAGAGGGAAAAGAAGTTAACATTGACCCGAACTGTGCTTCAAGGTCATCTGCCCTGGATGACACAAGCTAAGAACAACAAGTCCATGATTCATTTTCTTAGGTTTTTTCGGTTAAGTCACGTAAGTAAAACATCAAAAAAAATAATAATAATAATATAAAATTATTTTGATGTTTTACTTACGTGACTTAACCGAAAAAACCTAAGAATATGAATCTTTGCAGTCATGAAAGCTTCAAATCTAGAATCCATGATTCATTATCGCGGCGAAGACGCGTCTTTTTACTTCGGAAGTTCAACAAAGGAGGACGAAATAATCGTTCGACACGTCGTCAAGACCCGACCACACCCGGCAAGTCACACGCTGCATCAACCACCTGGCTGCTGTATCATCACCCATCATCAAGCTGCTGTCTGCAATGTATGAGAGACAGTGTGTGTGTGTGTGTGCAACGACTGCACATTCGCCAGCACAGGAGATTCCGACACGTCCATTGTGTCACCTTCTCAATGCCAGCGCAATATTAACCGGGCTTCGTATCATGAAGGCCGATTGCCTTTGTCGTGTTGTTTGCCTCATCATGGCCATCATAGCATGCACTGGGTGCAGCCTTATTAGCCTAAATTCTGAGTTAAGTCATTGATTGATTTCGTTTTAATTAGATTTTTAACAAACAAGAGACTAGTTTGTACTAATGTGAATTAATCATACCACAGACAAACCAAACATTAAAACAAATGACAGATTCCAGAACGACAATTGCACACTGCACTACAGCACTCCACTCTGCACAATAATCTCCGTGCTGGACGGTGCACTCGGACGTGGGTGGTGCCGTTACCCGTCATGAAGCCGATGTAGCAGTAGGCATAGCAGAAGGTCTCCACAAGGCTGGGCTCGGACACAAGGTCTCTGGTCGAAATTTT